TAATACAGCAATAAGATTAATTTTAAGGAAAGCAGCATTACTGTTTTTATTTACAGAAGTCTCTAAAAGATCTTTAAACTCTCCCAGACAAAGCCATTCATCTTTCTTGTTTAAATATTATTATCATCCAGTGACAAAGGCCTAAAACAACAGAATAGAATAAAAAGTTCAGAAATTAATCAGGGTTCTCTATAGAATTAAGTTTTACAAATCAGAGCAAGATTTTAAAAGTATTAAGAAGGTACTCAAATAAGAAAGCTGTTCACTCAGTGTCTATTAGCGCATCTAGAAATGTCTGGTCTGAGTGCGTCTTTAGGATTTAGGATTATGAAGCACACATTACATTGGGTTCGAAATAAGAAAAAATAAATAAAATGAAGCGCAGAGAAGGCAGCATGCATCTAAATTATGACATAAAGGTAAAGAACATAAAAAAATCGAACCTATTTATGTATACCTCTAATAAAGAAAGGCCTAATGACTTCCATATAAACCTAGTCTAAGCTTCAGCTTTTTGATCAAATGCTCAACTTGAAAAAAGGTTCTTATTTTGCTAAACACCACAATAGTTGTAGGAAATTTGAAGTTATCTGAGACATTGGACACATTCGTGGAAACTGATATTGATTTAACTCTATTCACATAAAGATCCAGGGTTTGGGTAACTTAATATTTTTAACAGCTGAAATACAGTTTAAAATTTGTTAACATTTAAGAAGGTTACAAGATGAGTAAAAAGCGTCCTCTATAAAAACAGGAACTTTAATGCATAAATATTATTCCCGGGAATATCTTATTAGCAAAAAAAAAAAAGAAAGAATATTGGGCTGAACATTGAGGCTTGTACCCTCATAGTACAAGTACCATCACCAGTGAAAATATACATTTATCACCAGTGTCTGAAAGAATAGTATGACAAAAACCAAAAGTCAGACTTATGAATCCAGTATGAGTTTAATGTTTATATGAAATTCAAGAAATCTAACAGTAGTCGGGCTGCAACTTACGATTATTTTTTGCAAATTGATTCATCTGTCAAATAATTTTTCGATTATTCGATAGCAAAAGGTTCTTTAAGGAAGACTTTTTGCCAAACGAAACCAGGTAAAACTAAAAATTTTACAACCGAGGAGTTCTGGATAGAGCATATTGACAGATGAAAAAGATTTTCATCTTAAATGCAAAATGTTTACATATTTTACATAAGTGGGTTGCTCTGTCAGCTAAAAGCATGTTTTAGAGTCTCTAACTCCAATTAACGATTAAGCGATTACTAAATTAGATGACGATTATATCAATAATCAGTTAATCACGATTAATCCGATTAATTGTTTCAGCCCTAAATAGCAGTAGCACGTTTAGATATAAGGTTATATTGGTAGGATTTGGGGGAGCCCACCTAACAAGGCATTACATATACTGCACATGACATAAACATAAAACCTGTGATGTTATTTCTCAAACAAACTGTAACAAAGAAAGCTTTAATGCATTGCCTCTCTTTCAAATTAGATCCTTCTCTTGTTATATTTACATAAGCTGTTATATTTACATAACCTCCAAATCTCCAGGCTACTGACAGAAGAGGCACTGTTGTCAAACCAGTTTAATTTACATTTCAGTTGTAATGGCTCATCATCAATACAAGCTGTTGAGAGGGAACTGCCTCCCAGCAAAGACTAATATTGTCTTGATCTAAGAAAAAACTTTATTTCTTTTAGCAGGCAGCAGGGGCGGAGCCAAATGGTGGGCAAGGGGTGGCCATGGCTACTCTTAGACAATCATTAGCCACCCCTGCAGCCACCCCTACCATTTTCTCCCTCTAATACAGACAGCGGCAGCAGTAATACTATCAAGAGGAATGTTTAAACTTATTAAACATTAAAATTTTTCATATATTAATAGTAACTTGACAACTAAAACGCAGTGGTTAATTATGCATATCAAAATACTAACATTAAAGTTGATATATACAGAATTTATGCTCTTTTAAGACCCTAATTTTGTGTTATATGGGGTAAAGAGAAAATTATGTGTCTCTGCAAATAATCAAGGAGTTTTCAGTGAAATCATAGATAAATAACTACTTTAATAATAACTTTAACATCCATTTAATGTAGATATTAATACATGTATGTTATGCAGAACAATTTTTGATAAAGTAGGAAAGTAATGACAATGGAATGTTTGCTCCAAACATTTTGTCCATTATACCTTTTATTTAGACAGTATGGATGTTTATCTGCATCTATTTGTAATCAAATAGATGCAGGTTCTGGCGCCCATCCGCTTTCGGCCACCCCTCAGTTTACATTGGTTTTTCATTGGCCACCCCTATTAAAATTTTCTGGCTACACCTCTGGCAGGCTGAGCCTCATAGCAGCCGTTTAACGTGAAATGCATATCAAACAACTCCATCATGTACTGTTAGTGCCCCAAAAAGGAGCAAAAGATATAAACTCAACTCGCTTATCGTTCATGCTGCTGAAATAAAAGCAATCTAAAAGTGAATGTGCAAAGGAAATAGAAATAAATGAGTATTAGACTACAAATAGCTCTGAAAACAATGCATATAACATCACAGAGGGGGGGAAACATGAAGAAGATACTGTCAGCTGCAGATTGGAGCTGTGACGCTGCAATAAACATGACAGGATGTAAGGTCACTGGAGTAAAGCAACAGCACCAATGAGAATCACCTTCCAAATGAGTCATCTGTATTTTATTTTTTTATTTAGTAGCGACAGCACCAGGCTCTCACTGGCTACAAACCTAAATAATAAAGATCAAGAGAGATTCCCCCCACTAGATCATGAAGGATAGATGTTTAGGGGTTGCAGGGAATGCTGCCTGCTCTGCATACCTAACCAGATCTCTCAGTGATGGTGTAGTCATGCAGTGGAGTTGAAATTCATATGTCTGGACATGGATGCGTTAAACCTGACGTGTCTGGTCATTCAAGCACATGCACGCTGATGCTCCCCCTCTCTGAAAAAAATAAATAAAGCGATAGTAACAGGATGGACGCAGAATACTGCGCACCCTGAGGGTGAGAAGCGCATCCTGTCGGGTTGCCCAATGGACCGCACCGCAGCGCGTCTCGCCTCCAGGTAAACTTGGATGACACAGTGACGCGCTCATGCGCGCACGCGGCGTTTGGGGACCACGCAGACTCATGATCGAGCGGATATTTCTCCCTCTCCCGACATACTTCCCGGTTCCCTGGCGTGTTTACATACCTGCCTTCACTTCCTCTGGGATGTGGCAGCCTTTTTTCAGAAGTATCCATTTTTCCTCACTCATCTGAGCGCGGCCGCTCCTCCGAGGTCTGTGTGCGTCCACGAACCATGCGTGTTGTTTCCACATCATTGAGAGGGGGGCGGAGTCCACGACCCTTGGAGACGGCATGCAACTGGATCATGACAATGCCACTTATTTACTCTTCGAGCCAATCAGGTGTCGGTCCATGCAAATCCCTTGCATCCCGGCAGACTGTCAGTCTAAAACTGCAAAATGTAAATATTTTTCAAATAGGCAAATTCTGCCTTTAAATAGGCCTATACGAGGTACTGATTCTATTTTATCTTATTTTATATTTGGCAATGCAAAATGTTACTACTCACATTTAATGATGCTCTTCAATACTCACTTTAATACATATATCAAAATTTTAAATCAAAATCTTAATGGAAATAAATGGGAAGTGTGCAATAAATTGGTGTTCTGCTTGTTGTTTTAGTATTTTATTTTTAATCTTTTTATTTTTAATTCTTATGAGTCAGTATGTAGCCTATGTGTGCGTTTTTAGCTGGTATTTGTTTTTATGTGTATTTATTGTTTCTAATGGCAGCTACTACTATGCACTGCACACCTGGGTCCATGACAAATCTACCCGAGGGGACAATAAAGTATATTCTATTCTATTCTATTCTATTTAGGTTTCTTCAAATAAAAAAAGCTGATTTGCTTTAATTATATTCTACAGCATATCTATAGTTGATGTTAATCTAATTTGTAATATTAGTAGGCCTAGTTTACGGCTACTTGTTAAATGTCAGAAGAGAACATGGTAATAAAGAGATGGTATACAAGGAACAGAGCAATCTTTAGAGGATAATGATGAAGGAATGCAGCAGCTGAACTTTATGTCCTGAACACATCTGTGTTGGGACTCTTAAGGCGCCAAATTTAGCTGCAGTATACACTTTGTGCATGCCTCCTAAAGATTTTAAAAGGCTTTATTTTACAATATTTTCAAGGGAGTTTTAACAATAAAATTGGAAAGAAGCTTAACTAGATAACACTTGCACATTCAGAAATATCTGCCTGTTGAAGTTAAACTGTTACTGAAGTGTTGTTAGTTTAAGATTGTGCTTTCAACTACTTTTATCATGTTAACTTTACTTGTTTTTGTTGTCCTTTTATTTTCCTTTAATCTCGTTTTAAACATTTAAAGCATTTTGCATTGTCTTTGTACTGAATTACGCTGTATAAATTTGCCTTGTTCTGACAGTCTCCTTATGGTTTATATTAAAAGTCACTTAGTGGATTAATTATAAAATGTAAAGTGAAGTATAAAAGAAGCAGAATGCATTTAATTGATAAAAGGGTCAACAACATCAAAATTCTCTGGACAACTTTTTTCCAATTTTCTTTTTCTTTCCATTAATATTCAAATTGTAAACTTTTCCATTGTTAGTTTTCTTGAAAACTGCTAAGTCACTGTTTCTCCCAAAGGTTCATTGATATATATTAAAATCTTCTCTCATTAAACTAAACATAAAAGATTCGCATGTTTGCCTCTGTTCATAAATCGATAGATGACATTTTAGATTTAAATTTATTGGTGCAATAATTTTACTTTTTATAACATAACTTTATAACAACTTTATGAGATGCATATTTAAGTAACAGAAAACTTTACTCTTTTTTTAAGAGTGATCAATTTCACAGGAATAGCTTAGCTAAAAAAAAAAAAAGACACACCAGAAAATGGTGGACATTCTTTATTCAGTGCACACAGTTGAACAACGTGTGACCTCAATGTATCAGGGAGGTTTTAAACAAGATTTTTCCACCCTCTACTGGTTGGAAATAAAATCTTCAGAAGAGATTTTTGGTAGTCAAATACATCAGGAGCTAAAAAAAAAAAGGAAAGATTTTCTTTTATCTGTTTTCTTAGAGGAGCAATAACTGCTTAAAACAAATAGTGTCTACTTATGCCAACAATTGAGCATACCCAAATCTAATTATACAAAAAGATAAATATATACAGGCATGTGTAGTATATACAGAAAAAAAAAGTATCTCTGGTGAACTTAAAATCAGGCTGAGTAACTTAGTGATGGAAAAAAGGAGCAGGTCTGAACAGAAGATTTAGCGGCACCTGGTGCTCACAGAACTCCTTGCTAAAACAGATTAGTACAAACCTGTCACAGATGTTTTTCACACTCCCCTTTTAGGCTCATTTATAAAACATTTTCTACCATCTCCCTCTTTGAAATGGTGGGCGCCCAAATCCTGGTCTGATCACCCGGAAATGCCCCCTTGGCCCATCATTCATCATCTCTGGTCCCATGGATGGATGCCGTTGGAAAGGAGGACCGCGTGGGGGAAAAGGTAGAGGCATTCTGAATCTATTGGACGGAAACATGGGCTCTCCTTGCGTTATTTGCGAGGGCATGCGTTGCATGTTTGGAGGACCTGGGAATGGCCGCATGTTAGGATTTTGCATGCCAAGGGGAGGCTGCAGAGGTGGCATTCCATGTCTGGGGGGACCCTGCATGGCTGTAGGGTTAGGCATCATCATAACAGGTGTTGCTGGAGTCCCTAGGTGATCGCAAGCACCAATAGTTGACGACGGATCTTGCTCAACAGGGGAATCTTCTGCAGACTCCACTAAACCTTTATTATTTCCTGTTGTAAAAAGAAAACCATGATGTTTTATCGACTCCACATACTGTAAGAAGTAACCACAGAAGCAGAAGAAAAAGCAAATAATGACAAAAAAGTAGTAAAGTAGTAGGTACCACATTTAAAATAATGCTAAAAAATATTAGAAATTTGCAGCATATTACAGTCTTTAAAGTTTACCTCCTACTAGATGTGCAGGATCAAACTCTGAGGGTAAGAAAGGAGCTCCTCCCAGGGGTAAAGATGTCGGTGAAAGCATGTTAGGAGCAGGAAAAGAAGGTGGACTTCCAATTGGTTCACACTGTGGAACTGTCTGCATCTGGAAAACAAAATAAACATCAGACCAACCTTATTAGAATTTAGAGTCAGCGTTACAGACCATACTGACAGAAATGTTGCATTTGATTCAAAAGCATCAAGAAAATACATTTGAAATTAAAAATAGTAACAGTACTGTTATTTGGCAGTGAGCAATGGACCATGGACAGTTGTCTTTAATTTCTGCTATATTTTGGGTTATGTCAGGAACCAATAAGAGCGTTATTTATAGTTTGAATTATGTACAAGTCTGAAGACTATACTTACCCAACAGAACAACAGCTTACTAGTTACCAGTATTCAGGTACAGGATACACCAAAGTTTATAAAATGTATATGTGTGCTGTATATTTGTTTGGTGGGCTTGCTTCTTGTTCTGTTTAGTAATCAAAATGTCTAAAAAAACATGATCTAAAAAATGTAAAAATCAAGACAGTTAATAAATAGAACAAAAAATAAGTTCTAATTTGAAAATGGTACGAGTACCTAATGGGCACCAGACTTCATGGACATTAAAACTTGAAAATAGCTGGAATACTCATATTAGCAGCTTTTAATGCCATGCTTTTAAAGAAACTCTTGATATTCAAATCTAAACAATACAAATATATTGTACAGAACCTTAATTAAATTTAATTATTCAATATACCCATTATTTCACCCAGAATAGTACTAGGTGTTTTGTTTTTTTTCTATTTTAAATCAAAGCAATTAAATTCATTTTTGTATAAAAACTTTCATATTGTCAAACTGTGATTTTTTTTGTTATGGTTATGTCATGAAAAAGTCTAAAAGAAGTTTGAGTCTAACAACAGCCTTAAAAAAAGTTAAATTTCAATGTAATCAAGATGTTAAACCATATATAGTTTTAATCCGATCCTGTTCGTTTCTCAGCAGAACATTAGAACGCTTCTTAGTCGCTCTTTTGCAATAAAATGCATAACATAGGATTTGTGCACCAACTCCTACAGAAGTGAATGTCTTTGGTTTGCAGATAAATATAAAAACAATTTGATTATTAAAATGTCATCAAGAAGTAGAAGTCAGGGCAAGAAATTCATCAGAATGTGCCTTCTTCACAGGTAATGTACTGCCTTAAGGACTTTATCTTTGATTTTTAGCTTGACTATCTTGGGAGTTTTGATTGGTCTTTGATCCTCATAGTTGGCACAAAAACAGCTAATTAATATTCTTTGGTAATGGAAAACAATATTTTGTCTCTATTAATAATCCTACCATACCTTACCTTAAGCAATAGATCGCATGGTCCTTCTTACTTATTCAACGTGTGTGCCACAATTAGCCCGCATTTCATGTCAAATTCATTCAATATGTAGCAAAGCATATTTTTGCTCATCTGTCAGAAAGAATATACAGCTGAAGTTTATAAGAGCCAATTCCCTTCTGTTCCCACAACTCAAATTTGTGGTGGGAAGGACAATGACTGAGGCAGATGGAGAAATTAGAAACAGGATATTTTCCTTTTTCTTCTTGACATTAAGTTTCAAAGTTTTAGCTGAAAAAAAAAGAAATCTGAGATTTATTCATGAATCGTCTTAAAATAGAAGATTCTTTTCTATAAATAGTGAACACACATAGGATTTTATTAAAATAATGAATCACTAAACCATGATAGAAGAATGTGTGGTGATTATATCCTACTCAGTCAATTCACTTATATCTATGACTACCTGGAGTTAAGTCTTTAATTTATAATAAAGGTAGAAAAAAAGGAAGTTTTTAAAATAAGTTAATATTACATTTTAAAAACAGAATCAACATAAAACAGAATCAAAAGATAAATAAAAATCATATATTAACAGAGTTATATATATATAAATCTGAAACATTTAAAATTGCCAAAAAAAAAAAAAAGCAGAAAATCTGTGAGGGACAAGTACTTCACATTACTAGAAGAGCGGTGGAATCAGATTCTGCTGACTGTGACTGCTTCAGGTGGATTCTTTATAGGCAAATCTTCAAAAGTAAATAAACCACACATACCTTTCCCTTTTTCAGATTATTAAAAAAAAATCTATAGGCTGATGTTACATTACTGAATTATAAAAATATACAAATTATTGCAAATTTTAATTTTAGAACAAACTGTTGTAATTACAGCCTCAAATATTTCAGGTCTCTATCAATAATGTACATCTAAAGATTGCAACTGTCAGATTATTCTTTGTGTAACATCCAAGTCAGAATAAACAAAGAGCATTGGAAACTGCATCAGTATAGGGCCTGACCTGCACCTATACAGAGTTGCGGATTTGAGCTGCATTCACAAACTTTCTATAGGACGGAGATCAGAGCTTTATGGTGGCAACTCCAAACACTGATCTGTCATGCTTGAACCATTCTGTCCATAAGCTAAAGATTGTCGTTTTTCTGAAAGATCCATTTGTGTTTTATCTTGGCACAGCAACATTTACAGCCACCCTGGAAATACACTGGAGGGGTAATTTTCTTAAAACAGCAAATTTTAATTTCAGTAGTCTATAGGACATTACGTTCTTTCCAAAAATGTTACTGTATTACAGCTTTTTATATAACTACTGGAGTGTTTGCTATAAATCTCTCAGAAGCATCTGATTTAATTAAATTAAATCTGGTCATTTTAATTAAAATACATTTTTACACTTTTACAATTTTATTTCTCACTAACACACACAGTGAATGTAGTATATTGGGTTTAGATAATTAAAACATTGTAACTTGAGGGGTTATCCTGTGTAAAACTCATTGAGGGTGCTCGAGTGCTAAACTAAAGGTGATGATAATATTAAGATAGAAGACAATGATCCAAATCAATCAGAAATAGTCTGCCATAGCTGATAAGTCTGGCAAAGCAAAAAAAGACATCCCAAAACAATTTGAAACCAGTATTTCCATTGTAAGGGAAACAATGTGTAGGTAAAAACAAAATGAAGCACATTCCAACCCATTTCCCCAGTTTATTTCACGCATGCCACAAACAAGTTCAAATTGCAAAAAAAATCAAACATTTAATTATTTTTGGAGACCTACACTAAAACTTCTGCTGCTGATGTAAATATGCATTACTCTAAAATTTGAAAGAGATAGTTTAAATTAGAATTTGACAAAAGATGTTAGGAAGTTCCCTTTGATAGCAAACAAAACCAACTAGGTCATGGGGAACAACTTGTTAAATTGTTAAGACAGTTTATGCAGTATGATTAAGAGGTTTGGGGCTTTTGAGAAATGCATAATGTAGGAAGTTTGAATACTAGCTTCAAGTAGTATTTTTGGTCATTTCTATGACTTGAAAGCCAATAAACCTCAAAGTTCAGATATAGAAGACCATTAAACCATAAAATATGGCTTTAACCAAGCTGCCATTCCACTTTTTTACACTGAAGAAAAGGAGCATGAATGTTTTATATTGGAGGGTAGTTTAGTTGCATTTCACAAGGACGTAATATTGCTCTTTTAATAAAGATGATTAACAAAATTTTTAAGTAATTTTGCTCTGATACATGCTTATGAATATTATTTTCTCAGTATCCCAGAAAAAAAAATAAGAACAACAAAAATTAATGAAGGCTGCAGGTCTGGGTGGCATCAGCCCCGGGCTTCTGAGGGGCTGCACATACAAGCTTTGTGGCTTCTTGGGATATATCTTGAAAATAAGTCTGAAGCTGGTGAAAATACCACCGTCATCAAAGTCCTCCTATGTGGTACCAGTATAAGACTGCACATCAAAAATACCTAAGCAGCTACAGGTCAGTAGCATTGATCCCACATATGATGGACCCTCAAGAGGTTGGTCCTCAACCATGTTCGCAGAGGCACGAGGAAATTCTTGGCAATCAGCAAGACACACTAATCAAGGAGTGGTTCCGTAGGAGGGGATCACAGACCTAAGCTTTCTGGCTAATATTTTTGTCACTTTTGAATATTAGTGGTGCTTTCACACTTGTGGTAGTATGAGACAGACTCTACAACCCACACAAGTGGCTCAGTTAGTACAGCTCATCCAGGATAGCACATCAATGTGAGTTGTGGCAAGAAGGTTTGCTGTGTCTGTCAGCATAGAGTCCAGAGGCTGAAGGCTCTACCAGGAGAAAGACCAGTACACCAAGAGAGGTCAAGGAGGCCGTAGGAGGGCAAAAACCCAGCAGCAGCTCTGCTACCTTCCCCTTTGTGAACAGGGGAACAGGAGGAGCACTGCCAGAGTCCTGCAAAATGACCTCCACCATGCCACAAATGTGTCTGCATAAATGGATAGACTCCATGAGGATGGTATGAGGGCCTAAGGTACATAAATGGGGGTTCTGATCAAAGACCAACATTGTGTAGGATGCTTGGCATTTGCCAGAGAACACCAGGATTAGCAAATTCACCACTGGCGCACTGTGTTTTTCACAAATGAAAGCAGGTTCACAATGAGCACATAAGGCAGAAGTGACAGATTCTCCAGACAGAACCTACAGAATCTGGAGAGTGATCTGCTGCTTACAACATCCTTTAGCATGATCGGTTTGGCAGTGGGTCAGTAATGGTGTTGCATGGCATTTCTTTTGAGGGCCGCACAGCCCCATGTGCTCACCAGAGGTAGCATGACTGCAATAAACTACCATTATATACCCTTGTGAGACCATATACTGGTGCAGTTGGCCCGGGGTTCCTCATAATGCAGGACAATGCTAGACCTCATGTGGCTGGAGTGTGTCACGTTGTACCACAGACTGTCCAGGAGTTGGCGGTTGCTTTAGTCCAGGTCTGCAAGGAGTTCCCTTAGGAGACCATCCACCACCTCATTAGAAGCATGCCCAGATGTTGTAAGGAGCTCATACAGACCACACACAATACTGAGCCTCATTTTGATTTGTTAAATGGTGCATTCAAACAGCAGGCGGTGAACGCGGTGATATCCGTGAGCCCTGCAGGTAGCTCACGGCTCTGCATTTCAGATGCAGTGTATACACCCTGGATTGCATAGTAAAATAGGAGAAGCTTCAGCTGTGTGAAGCTGAT